TTTTTAATTTGGGTTCTATGAATCCCCAGGTTACAGGAATATTTTTTAATTTCTAATTAGCAGATTATTTTCTCTAACCGTGTGACTTTGGTGTTTAATTAAATATTTTCTTCCTTCATATCTCGCAGTGCTTGTAGTGCACTTTGGTTTTCCAACAGGAAAGAATCAAATTTACTACTTAAGAAAGCCATAGATACTTCAATCTCCTGAAAAGATTTTTGAAACTCGGTAATTTCATTCGGTTTCAATGATGAAATTTCAATTTCTGCTGACTGCACATTGAGCACATTTAAATGTATTTCCTTTCATTGCAGCGGATGCTGATTTCCTATCACAACTATTTGTGGTAGTAATTTCTCATGCAAATGCTACAAATCACAGCATCTACAACTTTTTTACAATAAAAACAGCATTTTCTTGTAGAGCACACTTCACATGCAATGTTTGCTTTCACTTAACCCAACCGTATTCAAATATTATGAGACCCTATGTTATGAGATCAGACACAGATAATATCAAGATACTCATCATTCATAGAAAGGTAAAAGGTCAAAGAGCATGAGGAAGATTCTCAACAAGATTAATTTACCAAGTGACAAGACGAATTAAAAAAACAACCAGACACAGGAATCTATAGAGATGGACCATACACGATATCACGAAGACCACTCCCTTTGGGGTTTGGGGGGGGGGGGGGGTCAAGACTGAAGAGAAAATGATATGAGAAAAAATGAATGTTCTAATGACTAATCTTGTTTTTCCGTTGGTTTGATTTTTCTGTTACTTAATTCTTTTTTATTTTTTGTTTAGAATACAGACTTAAAAAATGAATGTGATTTTTTTGTTCATAATAAAAAAATTTTTATAATAAAAAAAAATAATGCAATGAAATACATTTAGTAGTCATTTGCAACAAGGTCTATAGCAAATTAATGATCTAATTAAGTATAAGGAAAAGGATTGGTTATAAAACTTCAATAACCTCATTGTCATATTTACATACAATAACATTATATATTCGTCTAGAATTATAAATATGCACTGGAACGTAATTAAATTTTATTTTGTAGTTTATCATTCACAGTGAATATCTAAAGATTGGCTTAGCTCGGATCTGTTAATTGTATCTGCAGCCGCCATATTTTTGTCACTTCAATAGCGCTTTACAGTTAGTCAGAAGTTCTAGCTAAATGTTATTAAAAAAATGTAATTAAAGCAGGCCTTGGAATAAGCATTTCTCATCTTATGGATGTTTAGTCACTTTCACCAAGAAATTATCTTGTTTCTTTAAAACACAAATTTACAGAAACTAAAATAGTCTAAAACACATTTAACCCTTTTGGTCACTTTTGTAATAAGCTCATTCAAAGTAAAGTTTCATTTGACTATCTGAAGCACTATCTAAGAGACTGAATTTACTTGACCTCAATACTAATTCTCATACTCAATCTCAATTCAAATCTCAATTTTGATTTGTTCTAAATACGTTATTTGAAAGTAATCCTTTACTTACTGAACAATCACGATACAATACAACATTGCTAAAAAATAATGACTGGAAATTCGTTAAATTGTACAAAAATATTTATAAGCAAAATTAGATAAAAAGATAAATAACACTAGGTACAAAACAAATCATATCACACTTACCTGAATCGATAAATGCCTTAACTGGGTATCCATTTACTTTACAGTTAATGTAAAGCATCGCAACTGTTCCAAAAGACTCTGGATTGTATTCCATTGCTGCCTCCATATTGGCTTCAATGTTCTTTTGTCTAATTTCCTCAGCAATCAGACGCTGAGTTTCTGTGTCGAAAGGATCAGCATTTAACATTTTCAGTCTTTGTTCCTCGCGGTCTTGCCTAGCCTTTACTTGTTCTCTTAGAACACTTGCAAAATTGTCTAAAAACAATATATGTTAGAAACTAAAAAACATTTAAAATTTTTTAGTATGCAAAAGCATTTTTGTTATTTGATGGTGAAAACATTGAACACTGCTTTACATTACATGATACTGTTTTCTTGATGAACTTGTTTTCTTTTACACCTCTCTGTACAGGCCAAGATCGCTACTTAAGGGACTGTATTATAAGCACTGCATTACATGTATAGTAATAATAGCTATAATAGTTATATTTTTTAGTTTAATGTAAGTAACTATGTAAACATAACAGTAAGAATAAATTCATTGTTTGCATACCTATATCCCCACTAAGAAGAGCATCAGCCAATCTTGGATTATTCTGTTTCAAGAGGGCAAGTTGATCGGGATTGGCGAGGAACATTTCCCTGATGAGAACAGGGTCATCTTCTACTTGGCGGTTTCTCGTGTTGTTGGTTGTATTTGGAACTTCTATGTTGCTAAAATCTAGAGTACCTAAATATTTAAAAGCATATGTTATAATAATTACCCTTTTTATTAAAACTTGTAACATAAAACTTATAATCAAGAGCATAGGAAGGTTTAAATTGACAATTTGGTAACAATACAAAATCACATAAACATTCAAACAGCTAAAAAACATCCAGGAATAGATGAAAACAAACTGTCATATTTTATATACTTACAAACAGAAGTTATTTTGCATATCAACTAAGAAAACAGTATTTTGTAATTTAATTGAATGTACATTAAATTATTAGAATAATTCCGCACTTTAGGCATATGATTTATTATTTTAAATAAACTTTATAAAAACAAGTTTTACTGTGATCTGTAAGAACTCTAGTTTAGCAAAACAGAATAATAAAAAACTTACTTGTTGATGTTGACTTTTCTTTGGTTTTAAAAATTTGGAATATTTTTGTTAAAATATGGGAATATATATTGCTTGGTTTTTAAAAACAGTTAGTTACAAAAATTTTGACTACAAATGTCACCAAACTATCAAATTTTTCCAAACTAGACCTTATCAATTAGGCTGAGCAAAATTTATTATCCAATCCAAGAGCACAAACAAAATTTAGGTACTTATTACATTGGATCAAAAACTTTATAAATCAATATGTATCAAAAACATTATAATTATGTGAAATACCTAATCTTAATAACTGGTTTCAGGTACTTATTATCTTTTTTTTAACTTTTAAAATTCTTGTATATTATACAAAAATGAGCAAAAACTAGAAGTACAAACATAGTATTATCTTCTTAAACAATATAATTTATTTTATTTGAGCTAGTGTTTTATGATATATTAAGTACATTGTATGTATGTAAATTGTAATTGCAATAAATGGATCCCCTCCTGAAAAGAATAGAAACATCCCTTCCTTTGATACCAAATTACTGTTTTTTAAATTTTTATATTATTTCTTATTTTGTTAGGTAAAAAATTGTAATTGCCCAATAATTTGGGCTTTTGTGTTCTTTTGTGCTTTTGTCATTATTTTGCAACTACAGTCAATAAATTACGATCTTATCAAGAAATAGGTGTGGGTACTTTTTAACAAACATTACCATGGAGAAGTAGTACTGATAGCTGTACTAGTGTAATAAGCCGGAACCATGTTTACGGAGATAAAATTTATATCAATGAATTCTGTTTCACTTTTAGGAACAAAAAGGTCCAAAAAAGATTACAAAAATCTCTTCACTGGGTTGCTAGATTTTTACCCAAATTTGCCTATGAATAAAATCTGGAACATTTATTTTACTCTTGTTAATGATATATTCTCATTAAAACCTTTTTGTTTTGTTACTGTGAATTTATTATTATTGAAAAAATGTCCTAATAGTAGGGGACAAATTGTAATGGTTTAAATTATAATTACCTGAATGGTCCATTTGTGACTCGCTTTGAATGTGTTGTAGAATAACAGCATCTCCATCCCTAATGCCAAAATCTTTAAGGGACTTCTTATTGTCCATTAGAGGCATTCCATTAAAGGCTATTGCAATTTCAGAGGCTGGAAATCCAGATTCAATTTCGCAAAATGCTTTAAAATTCTCCAGTTCCAGATCTTCAGAAACATCTAGCACAAATATGAAATCTGTTAAGGTAGTTACTGTTACCTTCATATTTAATCTATTTGAGCACCAAGAACAAATCAAAACCTTCTGTTTATATTACGATAATTTAATTAATATGTGTTGTTTTTATATATACATTTTCTAGTAAGAAACTTGAAACTTGGATGTTGGTCCAAAATATAAATATATGCTAACAATGACAGCTAATCTAATCCAATATACTGAAAAACGCTTTGTTCATCAACAAAAAGTAGGAATGACTTGCAGATATGTAAGAACAAAAATAGACTTGTATACAAATATTGTCCCTTTTTCTTTTCTTTGTTAGAAAGTATCTCAAAATAAATGAAATTAACCAAAATGCAAGGTTATTAACCCCACGTATAACGTCCCGTACACTACCGTCACTACAAATTCTCATTAAATTGTTGTTTTATAAGTTGCATATTAACAAGTAAGTGTGTTCCTTAACTTCTTTTACAAAGAATATTAAATTTAGTTGACTCAATTATAGCAGAAGTATTAATCGTATAAACGCTATAATTTATTTTGAATATGGGCAAAATCAAAAAAATTAATTATTAAAATATAATTAACACATTTTTAAGTTCATTTACCGCCCGCCTAAATGTATGCAACCAAGAAAACGTTTGGTTCTTGCTCTTTTAATTTATGATTTTAAATTGTTCATACAAATAGAAGGATAAATTATTTACAGTTTTTCTGTTATTTTGAAGTAATTACTACCATATTAGTACTAAAAAGTATTATCTCATTCATAACATGCTGAAATTCAAACAAGTGTAAATGTAAATAAAAATTGGCCATTTTAAAAATAGTTTCAATGTTTTTGAAGAGGGAGCCACGAGCCACCACAAATAACTAAATTTTATGGAGGGAGCTATATGTTTAGTTTCTATTCTATTCTAGTTTGTTATAAAAAATAATTATTAAGTAATAAAAATAAAACTTAATGTTTATATAGTTTTAAAGTTCTTATTATATTATATTGCAAGTATCAGATTGCGTTGAAATGACGTCCGCAGTTTATTTAGAACACTATTTAGACAGTAAGTAATAAGTAACTACTAGAAAATAGTTTTTATTTCAAACAAATTTTAGGTCTTGAACATTTACCCACGGAATTACAACGCAATTTTACTTTGATGAGAGACTTAGACACAAGAGCCCAAGGATTAATGAAAAACCTTGACTCTATTGCTGATAACTTCCTGAGAAACCAAAAGACACTGACACCAGAGCAAAGAAAAGAGAAATTAGATAAAATACAAGCACTATTCAATAAAGCTAAGGTAGTGTTAATGAGATTTTATCAAATGATAACTACTTACTGTATTCTGTAAACAAAATCATTTTATATCAACTGTAAGAATGAATTGGTTGCAATATTGTCGTTTCACAGTATAACATATTGAGATCATATTTGGTTACAAGTCCCAAAAAACACTTTTTGTTGAATAAATGCTTAGTTTTTTAAGGACAATGTATACTGTGAGCACTTTGAGAAACCATTTATTAGGGTCATTTAAATAGATTTCTGTGTTTGAGTCTGATGAAAAAGATATTTACCGAATGATGATATAGAACTCTATTATGTCATGTTTTACACTTACAAAATTATTCATAAATTTTTAGGAATATGGTGATGACAAGGTGCAGCTAGCAATACAAACTTACGAACTAGTTGACAAACACATTCGTAGATTAGACAACGATCTAGCAAGATTTGAATCAGAAATTCAAGATAAAGCTCTCAATGCAAGAAACCAGGAGGAACCTACAGTTGGCAAAAGTATGTATATTTATATTAACTCATTGCATATAGTTATTGTGTTTGTTTTTAAGGGGGTAGAAAGAAATTTAAAGATGGTAAAGTGGAGAAGAAAAAACGACCTGGGAATTCCAGCGAGGAAGATTCTACTGGTACAGTCAAGGGAAGTAAAAAGAAAAAGCAAAAAGGTGCTGGCGCAACTGGTGCCTCTGGAGCTAAGATAGTCAGTGGTGCCAAAGCTGCTGCAGGTGAGGGTTCGTATCATTCATCTGCTTTTCATCTTATACCATTTTGCTTTATAATAAAATGTGTTCCAAAAAGTTCTCTAAAAGTGATTAAAATAATGTTGAATATAGATATGAATAAAAACTTTATTGTGTTTTTGATTGCAATCATTAATACAATTTTCACAATTTTAAATAACATCAAAAATTTTCTTTTCTTGGTTGTATTTTTAAAGGGAAATATTGTATATGTTTTACACCACTTTGGCTTGATTTAGTGCTTACATCTTTCAATTTGGGCATTTATTGTATTCTTGAATCGTGTGTTACACCACCTATCATTGTATATTCAAAGTTATGGCTTGCTTTTTTCTTTCATTTTGATACCTCGATTTGTTTTCAAAGAACATTGTACAACCTGTACATTGATTTTATAATTTAGTCACATAATCATACAATTATTTTAGATATGATTCTATGTCATGTGATATATCATTTCAAAGGTCTCATTTGTCTGATTATGTAAGGCTGTTTCAAAATAGCAAGAGTTCAATGTTTAAATTTTTGTGAAATCCACTAAAACAGATCAATTTATTTTTCCAATTTCCATTTTTGACATATGCCAATAAAAAACAAATGAATTTTATCAAAATGTGGAAAATTCAACTAATAAATTAACCTTTTCAAGTATTTTCCATAAAAATGTTTTTAAATGTGTATTTTACACTTTCAATATTGAAAATTGAACAGTCGCCATTATCTTTTTCTTAGTTCAGGCGAGACTACTTAATCTTTGGCATGTCATCGTAAGATCTTTGTACCATACCTTGTTTTTTCCATTAAACTCCAGACCTGTGGCCTGAATGAGGGCTGGCAATTTCCTCCATTCCAGTGATAGGGTGGATCTCCTCTGGTTCAATCCTCAGTTGACCAGTGAATTCCTGCCTCATATCACTTAGCACATTGCAATGGCGTATGATGTGTATGTCAGTCTCTTCCATTTCATATTTTCTGCACCATGGATCATTTATCTTACCTAGTTTGTATAGATGTTTTCTTAAACTGCATTGTTCAGTCATCATTTCAGTGACCATTTCAATCTCTCGTTTATTGAGGTTCATCAAATTGTCTGAGAGTTTTCTTATTGATATTCTTGATTATTTTTTAATCTGAATTTGCCCTTTAGTGGCTCTCCAGTACTTTTGAAAATTCCTCATTTGTAGCATCTTTAGTGATGCCACAAAATGGTTCTGGGCCTCAAGGGTTTCTCGCGAGCCTTATTTTGTTAACAAATCTACTCATTAATTCTCATGCGCCCTTCCATGACCCGGCACCCATATTAAAGACACTTTATTTTCTTTTGCCAGGACTTTGGGGAGATCTTTGGAGTTCCTCACCAGTATTGATTTGATGAGTGAGTTTTTTACTCTCAGAATAGCCGCTTGGCTATCTGTATAAATGTTGATTATTTTTGCTTTGGGGCCTCCATCCATAATTTGATGACTAATGTAAAAACTTCAGCATGGGACACAGTTGTATGTTGACCTAGGCTGTATTCTTATAATTACATCTATACATCTTTCGTTCCTTCATGATTCCCACTCCAGGATTCTGAAACTCTGTATCAGCTTCTACAGGTACCAGTGTTTTTGGACCCAATTGATAGTTTCTCTCAATAAGGATTTGCCGCCTGCGACCTAAGGCCTTGGAGTCATACAAGATATGGTTGATTTTATTAGGATTTACTAAAGGTCTCCTTTTGAACACCAGGTAGTTATTTAGATATTACTTACCACTAACTATCGACTGCAGTAGAGGTGATAAGACTCCTCCTTCAAGATAACCTTTTACTGCTATTATAAATGCCGCTAAATACTCCTGGTATTAATTATACTTTTAATCAATTTGTAACCCTTTTCTGTTACAGCAGTGTTAATAGACTCAATAGGATTTTGTGTCCACTTGTTGCATGGTATCAGTGTCAAAAGATAAGATCTAAGTGATAAAATTAACATATTTTTGATTTTTTTGTTACACATTATCATTCACTCATTTCAGCGCTAACCATTATTTCATTGAATAATTATTTCTTAGTTATCATAAATATGTAAATAAACTTTCGCCTTTCATTCATAACTGTTTCTTTAAAGAAATATGCAGTCTTATGTTACAATGTTTTTTTAAGATTCCCATATTTTATATTGTAGCAAACAGTACAATGTACTATTAATTAATGTATTCAGTACCAGAAAGGAAGTATGTATCTGTGCATCAAATCTAGAACCCACTGGTTTCTCTCCTTTGCCTTAAGTATGTATATTACGATAGACAAATAATAAGCAAGAATACTATAGTAAACTCTATTCTAAACAAGTAAAATAAAACAGAGAATATCATACATAAATGTAATTCTAAAACATTCATATTTACAAATTTAAATATGACATGATAAACCAATATTTACTTATAGCTGAGAATAAGTTTGCAAAAGGTACAAAAGCGAGAAGAAGACAACTGATTAAATTATGCATAACATGAAATAATAAATCGACCATCACAGGTTGTCTCTAAACTGAGCCTCAGGTATAAAAGAAAATACAACACAAGCGATTATATAACTACTTAGAATCTAAGGTGTGAAAAACACATGAATTGCTAACTGCAGAAAGGCAACAAGTCCAGTTTTGTCAATTTTTCATGAGAGAAAAAAACTTGGTAAACTCAAACACACTACTGGTATTAATTTTTTTGCATTTAAGGTTTATGTGATTGGGCATTCTGGACTACTACATACTTATAAAATATTTAAATATTTTACGAGGAGAGGGTAGAGAATTTTTTTGTGTTAAGGACATGTTCCCTTTCTGCCGTAAACAAGAAACTTTAAGAAGTTCTAAGGAAAACAATATATAAACAGAATATTTTATGAGAATTAATTTTACTGAAATAAAACAATGCCCTATACATGAAATAAAGCAGTTAAATCATAAATTAAAACTTTAAAGTAAATTTGAGTTTAAGCTTTTAGTTTTTTCTGTAAATACCGGTGTAACTGGCCATGACAAAATCGGATTCCAAAAATTCATTTTTTCTTCCAGCATGTATACCAATGTTTTCTTCATGTCTTCCATTTTCTTGTTGTTAATTGGAAATACAGTTGAATCTGCTTTTCTAGTAGGAGCCTGAATTAACTGTACTGCATTCTGTAGTTTGAATTCATCCATTATGAAGCCGCCGATGTTCATCTTACATTGAACCATGTTAGAATTCTTTGATGATAAAGACATTTCTCTGTATTGTGATATGGCAAAAGCCCTTTTTTGGGCTTTTGCCATATCATGATAGATAAAAATTGTACATTCCCGTGTCGCGAGTTTATGCACACCAAAGACGTTTACAGTGAGCTGTCTAAGGTAATAGGTATCTTCAATGGGAATACAAGGTAGATATATGTTGGCCATAAAATCTATGCAGATGCCAACATTTTCTTCAGGCTTACTGACACACTGTGTGGTCACTTCTTTCAGTGATGCATAGAACTTTTTAGATTTACGTTTGTGTACTGTTAGCTCCGTGACAGCTGTTCGCTTTGAATTCTCATTCAAAACAGGACTTTTTATTTTTAAATTTAGTTCCTCACATGTAACACATGCATCTTTAACTGGTTGGGAAAAGCCAATAGAAGGGTAGATTTCATTGAAATATGTCCAAAAAAACTTGTAGGAGAGCCTTTTCTCAGTTCCTAGTGTTGAAATAAGGAAACTACTTTGTATGTTCTTTTTTAATGAATATGTCGTACATGTTTTTTTTAAATTCATATTAGTCGAAAAATACTTTCTTTCTTTTCCTGTATAGTGATATACTTTGGTGGGGAATTATTCTACATGGACCCTTAATTTAGACAGTACGAACCCAGATATTACATTTCCTGAAACGTTTTTTCTCTGTAGTCAGTTGGTGTTTCATTTAGTTGCAATAGATGGAACAAACGGTAACACTGCTTTGCAGTGTATCCATTGGTTTTCATAAATCCATTGTTACATACTTTTGTATGTTTTCTATTGTGTACTACATAATAAATAACACTGAAAGCTTTGTGTTTCGCTGTTGACGAACTAGACCTGGGTCTTTTCCTTGCAATCTGACTAATTTCCATAACAGATTGGATATAAATGTCCTGTTTCGATTTTGCGTATAGTTGGATTTGCAACTGAAACAAAAAAAGACTTTATTGTAACAGTAATTATTAGACTTCTTTATTATGTTTCTTTTATATTTCCCATCATTCGTAAAACCTTTTCTTTTCTTGTTTACACGCCATTCCTCATCTGAACCACTCATTCTAATCTAATTATTAACCACAGTAAAGATGACAACAATCATCAATAAACAAAGCACAATATTGTCTGACTAAACTCAGCTGTGAGGATAGTTCGAATATTTGCCACGCAGTTCTGGCGCCGCAAAAAGAGAACTTGTCCTGGACTAGTTTCCTTTCTGCAGTAAATAGAATATTGAAAGCATTTCCATGCCAATTCTAATATGCGGACGTGTTTCGTTTTTGTAGTAAATGTTGCGTTTTGCTACTGGAAACAATTTTAATAAAATACACAAAATTTGCACGTATTGGACATGATGCCTTTCTGCAGTTGGCGATTCACATTAATGCTACATGAATTTGAGAAGTCGGCAAATGGTAAGAATAACTATACACAACATAAAACCGAACACAAAAGAATAAAAAAAATTTTAAAATTAAAAAAACTTTATTGCCACACAAACAGCCACAACTTTATTGTTAACTTCAACTACATAAGACACTGAGGATGATCTGATTAGATCGAAAACGTTATGCTACTACATAAATTTTGACGACACTTATTAACAGTTTTAACTATGTGTTTTTATACCAAAATACAAGTGTGAAGTAACTTCAGCAACAACTTGAAGTTTTAACTGCTGTATGTTTTTTTTTACAAAAGAATAAATTTATATTATATATACATACTAATAAATATAATGCGAAAGTAAAATTATGAATAAACTACACATTCAATTAATTCTGAAGTTAATATGATTTATTAATATAAGACACATGTTTAAAGATAGCTATAATGTTTATTAGCTTTGGTTAAAGCTGTTAGTCTATTAATACTAACAGCTACACAATATGGAATATGTTAATTAATTTTTGTGATATATTTCAGTTGCGGAAGCTGTAGCAGCAGTTTTACCTGGTTTAGCGGGAATAGCACATCCCAGTGATGTTTTAGATATGCCTGTGGATCCAAATGAACCTACTTATTGCCTTTGTCATCAAGTTTCATATGGCGAAATGATTGGTTGTGATAATCCAGATGTAAGTATTATATTAATCATGATTTTTTGGGTAACTTTACATCTTTACAATAGATATAATTAGTGAAGTCGATATAAACTAGGCAATAATTTGTATAATAACTAAAATACAAAAAGAAAATGTTCTCGCAATATTTACATAAAACAAAGATTTAAAAAAAAAACTTTTAAAGTGACTACTGGTAAATGATTTGCATGAAAATGAAGGTAACTTAAATAAAGATAGTGCAAGCACTCCTGACCACGGCGCAGTAGACGAAATTTGGTTTAGTCCCCATTTCCATGCGAAACGCATTGTACTATGCACTGTATAATTCCACTTACAATAGAACCTTTCTGCCTTTACGTGAATTTTGACTCCGCCTTCGCGCAGCTCCATGGTTAGGAGTGTTTGCAGTTGCACTTTAAAATAAATTCAGCTTATATTTTTTGTGATGCAAAAAGTAACAAACTCATCCCCGTCAAAACCACCCTGGTTGAAACTATTAATTGCTCATTTACAATTTACTTCACTTATATACAAAAGTTACATTCTAGAAATTTAACTGATTTAGTTTTGAAAACATCTGAATTAATTAAAAATATCAGTAAAATATAAATCTACTGAACACCGCACTTATGCTTACTACAAAAGTCCTAACCATCAAAATCAACAAACTAACAAGTTTATCAGATGAACAACAAGGATTCAGATTCGAAAGATATGTCACCAAATGGACGAAGAAGTATTGGCAGACCAACAAAAAGATGGTGCGCTAATTTAAACAATTTAAGAGGCTAAACTTGGCAGATAAACTCCAATGATATTGATGATTTGAATAACCTTATTACCGAAACAGTGAATAAAAGCCTTCTGCAACTGAAAAAAACCAAAAACAACATACAATGAATTAGACAAAGAAATATTACAACAAATAGAAAGAAGGAAGATCTTAAATAAATCTAACAAAAGGGGAAACGGCGAATATAGAGAACTTAATAGGCAGATTAGAAAAGGAATCAGACAACAAAAAAGAAAAGAAAACGAAAAATTAATAACACCAACTATTGAAAAAAATAAGAGTATGAAATGCCTCAGACCGACACTAGGACGACGTCAGATGATATCATTAATGGGAAAAGACGAAAATGAAATCACAAGTAGAGAAAACATACTGACACGAATAGAAGAATTTTACACAGAACTTTACAGATCACATCAACAAGATGATGAGATGAGACCAGCACGGAAATTAATAAAAAATGTTGGATCAGAAATAATGCCAAAAGTAAGAATTTCAGAGGTAACTACAGCATTGGAAAACATGAAGAGAAATAAAGCTGCAGTAGAAGATAGTATTACCACAGATATGATATTAGAAGGAGGTAAGGAACTAATTGCAATTGTAACTAAACTTGTAGACAGTTGTTTACATCAGGGCAAAGTCCCTAAGAGCTAGAACAACTCTAAAGTAATCTTATTACACAAGAAAGGTGATAGTCGAAAATTGGAAAACTACAGATCCATCAGCCTACTGTCACACCTGTTTAAAATACTCACCAAAGTCGTAACTACTCGACTAACAAGGAAATTAGACGAATACCAACCATATGAACAGGTAGGTTTTAGAAAAGGCTACTCAACTTCCGATCACCTGTTAACCACAAAAATATTAATAGAAAAATGTAACGAATACAAGTTTCCAGTTTTCCTAGCATTTGTAGACTACGAAAAAGCTTTCGATACCATAGAACACACGGCCGTAATAAACGCAATGCAAAATTGTAGAATAGACAGCAGATATATTAACTTAATAAAAGAAACTATGAACCAAGCTACAGCTACATACTACCTAAATGAAAATGAACACACGAACCCTGTACCATTAAACAGGGGAGTCAAACAGGGAGATACTTTATCACCCAAACTTTTCACCTTAGTTTTGGAGGACGTTTTTAAAAACCTAAATTGGAAATATAAGGGAATAAACATCAATGGCCGCTACCTCAGTAATCTACGATTTGCAGATGACATAATCCTGATAGCTACTGACCTACAAGAAATGCAAACCATGCTTTTAGAACTACATACCGAATCTTCTAAAATAGGACTGAAAATGAATTTAAACAAAACAAAAGTCATGCACTCCGAAGACACCGTGACAATAATAAACGATAAAGTTATAGAAAAAAGTTGAAGAATATATATACTTAGGACAAAAAATAATCCTAAATAGGGAAATTCAAACTGAAGAAATAAAAAGAAGAAAGTTAGCTTGGGCAGCATTCGGTAAACTGATCTATATACTCAGAAATCAACAAATTCAATTACATCTTAGATCTAAAGTTTTTGATGCATGCATTATTCCGATATTAACTTATGCGGCACAAACATGGACAATCACAAAAAAGAATATGAATATACTTAGAGTCACTCAACACGCGATGGAAAGAGCAATGCTAGGTATATCACTTAAGGACAAGAAAACAAACACATGGATAAGACAGAAAACGAAAATCACCGATGTGGTGCAAAAATCATTAAAGTTGAAATGGGAATACGCTGGACATGTAGCTAGGAGTGATCTAAACAAATGGCACAGATCAATTTTAACCTGGAGATCATACCAACACAAAAGACCCAGAGGCAGACCTCCTATGAGATGGACAGATGATCTGAAAAGGACTGCCGGGAAAAATTGGCTACAAGTAGCATACAATAAAAAACAATGGAAAGGAAGACTTGAATAGGCTTATGTTCAGATGTGGACGTAAATGGCTAGACGAAGAAGAAGAAGAAGAGGCTAATATTGAAGAAAAAACAGGCTTGAAAGCCTACATACAGGAAGGAAGAAGAGGAAGAAGAACCCACATAAGTCGGTCTATAAAAATGAATCTTTTATTAAAATTCTGCGGTAGCTATATACATTAAAATAAATCGTATTTAAAAATGTTTTTATTGTATTTATATTTGATTTAAGCTCTATTTATTATTTTTTAGTTACACTTATAATTTAATATTAGAAGTTATTTAAAAATCACAAACAGAACTATATCAAATAAATTATTTGTTTCAGTGTCCTATAGAGTGGTTCCATTTCGCTTGTGTTGGCTTGACGACTAAGCCGAAGGGAAAGTGGTATTGCCCAAAATGTACTCAAGATAGAAAGAAAAAATAGTTAGTACTAGAAACAGATAGATGTCATTCCATTATAATTAATTTACATCTGTAACACAGGTTTCATAGATATTTTTAAACGAGATAAAATATAGTGGTTGTGAAGATGCGACTGCTTCCACACCTTAAGTTCAAACACTTGTTTGTGCATATTCTCTGTTGTGGTTTTCGTTTATTCTATGCCGAAATATTATCGTTGCAAACCATTGACCCACATTTCATAGAATTTTTACATTATGAGTAAAATTATGTCAAATGGTGGAACAGTACGGTAATTCTAAATCACAATTACATTTCTGATCAAATATTCGTGACTTTTATTCTGTATAGTGTAAAATTGTAGCATGATTGAATGAATGTTTATTATTATAGATATTAACAGATGTAGAAATAATCTTCCCAGGCCTAGTTAGAAGTATAAATGATCTGAACAGCTTGGTTTAATCAAATCATTCCTTATATAGTACTCCTAAACCAGGTTAGAGGATGAAAATTTTCTATAACAGGTTGTTGTTGTTGAAAATAAGCCCATGCTCAAATGGATACCATATTTTATTGCACACAAAATTGTGTACTTGTGTACCTAAACTGAAAATTCACTAAAGTAACGATTTTTCGTATTTAAAGAATTTCTTGATTTTGACGATCATCACTATCAGTTAAATTCATACTCAATGACGGGTTCACCGTCTACAACCATCTCAACAAGAGTGGTCTACTTAAACATCAAAATAAACGCCAGATATATCCTAATGTTCATTCAAGTGTACGCCCCTACTACAGGACATCCAGACGAAGAAGTCCAAATTCTACGACCAAATATCCTGTGCAATCAAGGAAAATCCTGGCCACTTCTTAATAATAGGTGGCGATTTCAACGCCAAAATAGGCACTAAGGAAGACCCCTCTGAAATAATATTGGGAAAATTTTTAAGCGAAGGCAGAAATGATAGAGGCAAACAACTATTGACTTTCCTTTTGGAAAACAATCTCTATCAAATGAACAGCTTCTTTAAAAAGAAAAAACACAGAAGGTGGACATGGGAAAGTCCTGATGGAAAAACAAGGAACGAAATCGAATATTTCTTAACAAACAAAAAAGAAAAAAATTATTTAAAATCCTTTATAAAAGGTATATAATAAAATGCTTTATAATATTTATAAAGGATTTTAAATAAATTTTTTGTGATATATGGTATACAGCCAGCTACAGGAACTTAGTTTCCTAGTGGAATTAAACAAAAAAGAATTATTTAAAGACGTAAATGTGCTAAACCAGTTCAGTACAAGTAGTGATCATAGGTTAGTAAGAGCTAAAATAACGATATCAACCGAAAAAGAAAGACTCAAAATGATAAATAAGAAACAACCAAAGAAATGGACAAAACCAACTAACATTCAGGAGTTCGAAAAATATATTGGTAATTCATTGAAAGACACAACAACAGCAGACATCAATATATTGAACAAACAAATAGTCAACACAATGCAACAGGCTCAAACTAAATATTGTCCGACAAGCAAAAAAGATGAAAAACTGAGTCAACCCACGAAAACCCTTATAGAACTAAGGCGAAAATGAAAGGAGATAACACTACAAGCAAAGAAGCGATAAATCAAATAAATAAGACGATCAAAAAGGCAATAAGAAAAGACATAAGAAACTACAATGTAGAAAAAACAAAACATGCAATAGTGCAAAATAAGAACATGAAAGTTTTGAAGAGGAGCATACAAAAGGGCAAAATAGAAATTAACAAACTGAGAAACAGAACTGGAGAAGAAACAACGAACAGATTATAGTTGAAGAGTTCTACACAGAGTTATATAGTTATATCAAGAAAAAAAGATAACAATACGGAACCTCCAATTACACTTAAAACTGGGTATTAAACCAAGGATCAGATTTAATGCCCGATATAACAAAATCAGAAATCAAAGAAGTCCTGAAGAAAATGAAAAATAATCTAACCCCGGGTGAAGATGGAATAGTATCAGAAGCACTAAAAATTGGAGGGGATGTATTATTTGAATAAATTAAACAACTTTTCAATATCTGCCTTCACAGGGCCAATATTCCAACAGACTGGAACAACGCTACTATGATTCTATTACACAAAGCAGGAGACAAAGCAAATTTAGAGAATTACAGTCCGATTAGCCTCCTTAGCCATATATATATATAAGTTGTTTACGCGAATACTAATTAAGAGAATGGAAAGAAAATTAGAGACATCAATCAGGGGAACAGGCAGGATTCCGAAAAAGTTGCAGGAAAGCAGGAACAAATGACCATCTATAAAGTATAAAACCCTAATAGAGAAAGCAGTGGAATACAATAAACCTCTTGTTCTAATATTTATCGATTTTCACAAAGCCTTTGACACAGTTGAGCTAAGCAAAATATTACAGGCGCTTAAAGAATGCATGGTAGATTATAGATATACTAAATTATTATACAAAATATACTTGCAGGCAACAACCACTGTCAGATTACATACCAACAGTAATCGCATAAAAATAGAACGGAGGGTTAGACAAGGAGACCCAATGTCACCTAAACTTTTTAATACGGTGCTAGAACATGCTTTTAAGAATTTGGATTGGATGACAAAGGGAATAAAAATAGATGGAGAATATCTAAACAACTTAATGTTTCGCCGATGATATACTTATAATAGCCGAAGATCTATGTATGGCAAGAGAGATGGTACAGGAACTCGTTGTGGCTACAGAAAATGTAGGTTTAAATATAAATATCTCGAAAACAAAAATCATGACCAATTTGGTACCCAACCAGAACATCAGTATTGGTGAGAAAGAAATAGAACTCGTAGATATATATATATATATATATATATATATATATATATATATATATATATATATATATATATACCTAGGACATGAAATTATGATTGGCAGGGATAACCAGACTCATGAACTGAAGAGAAGAATCGGCCTTGGATGGGCAGCATTTGGAAAACTGAGAGAAACTTTTAAAAGTGAGCTGCCCACATGCCTAAAGAGAAAGGTATTTGATCAGTGCGTCCTCCCAGTCTTGACGTACGGAGCAGAAACACTTACTTTAACAAAAGCAGCAGCTACCAAACTGAGAGTCACGCAGAGAAGAATGGAGCGGTCCATGTTAGGAATAACTCTGCGAGACAGAATAATCGACGAAGACATCAGGAGAAGAACCGGAGTGACTGACGTCATCGAGAAGATAGCCAGACTAAAATGGAGATGGGCAGGACGCATAGCCAGAATGACAGATGGGCGATGGACAAAGATTTTATTGGAATGGAGGCCAAGGGAACACAAGAGAAGCGTCGGTCGACCACCTACAAGATGGACTGACGATTTAAGAAGACTCAGTAAAAACTGAATAAGAGCGGCGCAAGATAGACGGGGTTGGAAACATGAGGAAGAGGCCTATGTTCAGCAGTGGACTCTTGAGGCTGGATGATGATGACGGGTTCACCACTGTCGGAAGTTTTTTCGACAGATCTCTTTTGATGTTTATAGTTTCTTCCATCTTTCACCATCTTCTTTTTCCTTCTTTCCTTCTGGTATTTTAATGGTATCTATTTATTTAGTAATATTGACCCTTCAATTCGCTCAAGTTGTCCCAGCTACTGATTTTAATTGTTTTACCTATTTTGAGGTATTTGTATGTATATATGTTCTAAACGTGGTACTTTGTTCCATCCGTATCATGTTTTTATTGTACCATAAATTGTTCGAAGTAGTTTCCTTTCTCATTTCTGTTTTATTTTATGTCTTTTTTGATTATAATTAGTAGTGTGACCAACTCCAATTCAATCGAATTCGGGACAAGGCTAAAAAAATACCTGAAATCCGGGACTTTTCAATGAAAATCGGGTCATTTTTTATTTTTTTAAACAAGGACTGTAATACCATCATTTTATTGATTATTTAACATTTTTATGTTAGCAATGATATTTTTGATGGGATTAAACCATAATTGGTTATAATAATTATTATATTTTTGTTAGTTTTTGGTCGTTTCGACTTCCAATCCGGAAATCATTCTCAAAAGGAAAAATTAGAAAAACAAGTGATGTTGAATTTTCATGTTAATGTATCCTTCGGTTAACATAAGAATGTAATTATCATTACAACCAATTGTGGCGTAATCCTATAAAAAATATAATTGTTAAACATGCCACAAGAAAACAGCTTCAAAACATTTACATTTGTAAAAAAAACAAAATTTAACATTTATTGTCTTACCACAAATAGTTACAAAACATAGAGAACACAAGAATGCTAAAAAAAAACAATACAAAAATATTACCACGATAGTCGCAAAATACAAAAAACTTACATGCGTTCTGCTGATTTACAAATTCAGGAGATGCTACAAAAACTTACTAATGTTACTGACGTATAAACTGTGGCAAATATAAAAATTATTACAAATAAAAAATTATTTTTTTAAACAATGAAAGCAATTATTACTTTAGCAAAAAAAATGTCTGTCTACTTTGAAAATTAAAACATTAAATGTTACCTTTAAATTCACATATTTTTGCACTTAAACTTCTGAAAATCCTGTAAACATCTCCGGGGCAGAAACTAAGAGAACCATTTCTGAACTGGAACAAAAGAAGACCATCTCCGTAATCTGGAATGACGATCAAAGACGACAAAAGAGGTTGTTCAGCAAATAGACGACAAACGAAGTTGTGGTACACCCCATGTACTGCTTCAAAATTATACCAGGTTCTGATATACTACACAATTCATTTTTCACTGCTACATACTTCAAAAACAAAAACCAACAAATTCATAGCGACCCAAGTAAGAATTAATACACACTTGAGCCGACAGTGACTCAAGTAAGAATTTATCTGCACTTGCACCTACGGCGACCCAAGTAAGAACTTAGATCCATACCCGAGACTACGACGACCCAAGTGAGAATGACGAAATTCTCTTAAGAATTAGTTCACTTAACTTGAAAATAAACAAACGCTGAAATAACAAAATACAACGAAAATTAAAACGTAAAAGATTCCATTTCTACATATTAAAACATATTAAAATTATAAGACGACTTCGAATAAAACATTAAAAGAAAATGCCGAGAAAGTACTTAC